ATTAACCTGGAGTAAAAGTGAGGCTTTCATGTGTGTGCATATATCCCTTGAATTCTCCCCTTCATTTAGAGTTTGCATGTATCTTGTGGCTCCTGAACTGCAGCTCTTGGACAGACCATCCCACAGATGATACAACATTTCCAGAAAACATTGAAACAAAATCCCAAAGGAAACTGACTTCCCCAAAGTTATACTTTATAGTAATGTTTGGAGCCTGGCGCCACTCCGTTACAGCCAGGAAATCCAGAGTTTAACCACTGCCTTGCTGCTGGTAGAATCGTAGGCCAGAGTATGTCAAAAGGTTGACATTGGAGTACTTGAGTGTGTCTTGTTGAAGTGTCATAAGGTCATTCCTTCTAAGTAGTTTGCAATAGTAAATATCCTCCTGTGCTCAGGATTGCTGTAAGTTCCCCAAACTTTGGAGGTTTTTTTGGTTGTTGTTTTTGTTGTTGAAATCGGTCTATAATCTAAACCCTATGTTAGCTACCTTGTAAGTTTGATTTGAAAAACAACTCTCCCGTTTTTTATCCTGCCTTAAGAACAGTCACATGGTCATAATCTATGCTCCCTCTAAGCTGTGGACTCTTGTGAGCAAAAATTGTACTTTGTGAGCTACTGGCATTAAAGTTGTGAGCGAGCGATTTGGCTGCTGCATAAATTAGTTTGCTCTGGAATCATCCTTCCTGAGCGAGGATAAAAATGTATGAGCCAGAGGCTAAAAACCTGTGAGCTAGCTCACACTAACTCAGCTTAGAGGGAACACTGCGAGGGGTACTTTCTGGTGTTTGAAAATGATCAGTGTCTACCAGGGAGACTTCAGCTGGCTTCAGTATTGTGGCTTCCACCCACCCCTGAAATTGTCATCCCCTAAGAGGAATGGGGAGAGAACTGCTCTTCTGTATGTTTTTTAATTTATTTTAATTAATTAATTAATTGATTAATTAAATTTCTGCCTGCCCTCCCAGCAAAGCGGCTTTTTAAAAAAGGGAATGTCTCAGCTGCTTCAGTTCAAGGCATAAATGGGCTGTAACTCTCTTTAATGTTGTAGCATGAGTTAAGTTCTCTCTTTTTCTTGTTTTTCCACTTGAGGCATACATGCACCAACTGACTTGTACAGAAGCTCAACTGTAAGCGTGTTTCACCTGGATGAAATTATACCATGAGTTTGTGGCAGTCAGCATCCACATAAAACAGCTTTTTCCCAGGTTCTCCAGACCCAACTCTGTGATGGGCAAGGCCAGTGCCTAGTAATGTCATAGTCACAGTGACCATTTCCTGTCTGCTTCCCTGGTGGAAGGGCGTGACCAACTTATTTACCACCATCAGAAGGGCAGAATCTTCCATGCCACTGCAAACAAATGAATCAAAATATCTTTTCATCCCCAATAGGCAGCTGCTGCAGGCAAAGGGGAAACAGTGGCAACCAATGCTCCCTCTAAGCTGTGGAGTCTTGTGAGCAAAAATTCTACTTTGTGAGCTACTGCCATTAAAGTTGTGAGCAAGTAATTTGGCTGCTGCATAAATTAGTTTGCTCTAGAGCCATCTTTCCTGAGCTAAGACAAAAATGTGTGAGTCGGAGGCTAAAAAACTGTGAGCTAGCTCACACTAGCACAGGTTGTGGTCACATGTGCCAGAAAAAACGGGGGAGGGGAAGCGGGGCTATTTCCTCCGGAGGAATTTGACTCGCAGTTGCATGATCACACTTCCCTTTGAAGCTGCGGGCACAGTCCGTCAGTGCGTGATCAGACGCAACTGAGGGTGAGTTGGGGTTTTTTGGTGCTCTTTTTCCCCCATGCGCTTAAATGAGCAATTGATTAATCGCACCTCCACATTGAGGGCTCCCTATGGAGTTTGCGATGATGCACATACTGCGAAGGGGGAAGAAAACGACAGCACGGAGTCGGGATGGCCTGATCATGAGAGCCATGAGAGCGCACTGGAGCGATCAGACATGGGAAAGTCCATCCGTGGCCTGTCGCAACCTGTTTACTATTGGATTTCCCCCGTTGGCTTTTAACTCCACTTCTGTGGCAGAGCGGAATGGGTTGCGGACGGCTGCGGGGGGCTTCCCAGATGTTGTCTGATCGCGCCTTTTAAATCCGCCCGGGTCTAATTGTGCGTATGATCACAGCCTCAGCTTAGAGGGAACACTGGTGGCAATAAATTGGCCTTTAAACTGGCTTAATACCAGTGTAGGTATATCGTATAGATGTGTCCAAAGGGAAATCCAAGACAGAAACTGAATTACCTTATGAGCTAATATCAATTGGCTTTGTTTTATTGAGTTGAAAAAAATAAGTTCCATCTGTCCCATCACCATCCATGAGCCAGCCAGGAGAGCTGGAGTTTCCTTAGCAAAATGGGTTGAAAAACCAACCTTTTATAGTATTGTTTTCTGCATTTCCACAGCTCTGGGATGTCCCAGATGGGGTCTCTTTGTGTTCCACACTGGTGAAAGGGAGATAATAGGTTGCTTTCCCCCCCTTCATTACAGGTTTTGTTAAGGATACGTGCGTTAAGGCAGAAAATATTTACAGGTTTTATAGCTGACGTGCAAACAGGAAAAGCCCTTTTTTAAAAAAAGTCAGTGTAGTGAATATTCAAAACAGGGATTGCCATGGAAACACCACAATATTTTCTTAAATTGACACAAAGGAGGTTGATAGTTGGAGGGCTGAGACTTCTTCAGGCTGCGTTTTCTTTGGCCTGGCACCTATCACATATCACAGTTTTCGATTGTCCTTTTCTGAAAGAAAAATCTGGCGTCAGAAAATGCTTGGCTTTTTTTCTGGGATGTTCTCCTCCCTCTTGTAAGGTTGGAACTTGATCTGGCATTTGGCCGCTGCCTACCAAAAAAAGAAAATGAGAGGGGCCATTGCTTTAGGGAGCGTCTCCAGTGAAACGGATCAGTTGGGGTGATGTGAAAGGCCTTCACCTGGGATCCTGGAGAGCCACTACCAGTCAGAGAAGACAATGCTGACCTTGGTGGACCAGTGGCCCGACTCAGTATCAGACAGCTTCAAGTAACGTGGCAGCAACATGGAAAAGGGGGAAGAAATATGCTGGAAGGTTAATCCCAGATTCGAGTGTATTGGCACATCTCCCAGACTTCTGGGTTTTTCCTACCTTTGTACGTATCTAAAGATCATAGAAAGGGCCCTGGGGGATCAGACCCAAGGTCCATCTACTTTAATATCCTGTTTCTATCAGGGGTCAGCCAAATGTCTCACATGAAGGGCATGAAGCATTTGCCTCCCTATTTGCACCTGGTATTTAGAGCTATATGGCCTCTGTACATGGAGGTATTAATTTATGTATCATATCTAAGAGCTGTTGATAGAGACCATTGGCTATCACCACATGCGGTGGCAGGTCATTCCACCTGTTTATCCCATGACTTTTATCCCTGGAGTAATCACGTCAGATTATACCATGGAAGTCCTCTTCTGTTTCAGATGCATGGTATAATTTCCTCCAGATGTAGTAATTATCTTTTGGGACTTAGGCCACAATGTGAATCCAGAAGTGGGGGTTTTGTGGAAGATGGTAGGCAGGCCCCAAATCAGGACTGTAGGGGGAAATCAGCCAAAACTCCAATCAGACCAAATAAGATGGCAGAGCCCTGAACCTCTCTAAGACTTTCTGGACTGCTGCCTTGGCCTGAGAAATGGTGGGCCTTTCTGCCTTGCACCGCCTTGTTCCTTTGTCGCTTTCTTTTTTACCTAACTTTACGCCATTATGAATGGATAACTTTTACTGTTGCAGTCATTAGCTGTAGCGAACTGGATTATTGCTTCAAGACATGTCATGATTGAACTGAAGAGCAGCCTCCCATTGCTGATATTTTGGGATTATTCCCACTAGCAGGAGTTCACATTTTTATTGTTGTTGTTTAGTCGCACAGTCAATTCCGACTCTTTGTGACCCCATGGACCATTTGCCGCGCTAAAGATAAGGATGATAGGCGGATTTTCCGGGCGTGATCACGCAGCAACATCTGGGAAGCATAGTGCACCCGTGGTTAACCCATGGCTACTTGCCAAAGATACGGAGTAAAAAACTAGTACATACAATGTGCTACTTTCCGGAAAACGTGGGGCAAGGGCGGACGTCTGATCGCGTTACCGCTGGAATCCCATGGCATCCGGGACCTGCCCATGTCCCGTCGCAAACCGGATGTGTACGTCCCGTCACAAACCGGATTTTTTTTTAAGTCTCCACAGGATGTGCACAAATACCCACCAGCACATGACACGTGGGGGGGGGGGGGGGGGAATTCCCGTTTGCCACGGAAGCGCCGCCTAGCGATTGCCAGTGTGATCGCGCCGCGCCACTTCTTTGCTGTGCTGCAGGATAGCCATGTAATCGGCACCTAACGGCATACCCACGGGACCTCCACAGGACATGTGATTGGGCTGCTGTGTGTTACTTTGCTCTGGTGCAAACAGCCACGCTTCCCCCCCGCATTTTCCGGCCCATGTGACCGGGACCTAACATAAGTAAATAAATAGTCCTTGCCAAATGTATAAATATATAAAACTGCATATTTAAAGAGAAGGGGCCATGGCTTAGTGGTAGGGAGCACCCCTTACATGCAGAAGACCCCAGGTTCAGCCCATATCGTTTACTGTTAAGGGGTCTTGGATAGTAAGTTTTGGTGAAAACCCCTTCTCTACTTGGTATCCTGGAGAGGCACTTCTAGCCAGAAGAGCTAAATGAACCAATAAGACAGGTTCATGTGACCCATCTATATATTTTGTGGTTGGGCATGTGGTTGGGCCCTATGGAAGATTCACAGTTCCACAGTTATTACTTCCTTCAAATGCAGAAGGCCTCAGTCCCTGGCAACTTCACACAGTCTGAACCTGAGAGGGCTGCTGCCCATTAGTGGAGATGATTCTGGGTTAGTTGGACCGGCTGTCTGACTCCATACAAGGGATGCTAATGTGGTGTTGGATAAGGAGGGGAATAAAATAATCATTTCTGTTTTCTTCTCTCAGGGCAAAGAGACATCACCAATTACAGGGAACCTATTGACTCTGGCTGTGTCCTGGGAGGAGTAATAAGTCCTGACGCTTCTCCTGAAAGTGTGGTTTGGAATGGACTTCAGATCCAGCAATTTCTGGATACAAGGTACCAATCTAGTTCTCTTATGCTCATTCTTTGTGGTCTGGACATTTTGCATAAGTTCTGTTTTGGGGTCATAATGTATCCCCTTCCTCACTTTAAGGCCCAAGTCGACTCGTTGCTTGCATATAATCATATTGGCAGAAATCTTGGTACCCCAGTGCAAATAAGTAAGTTGTCTTGAATCTTTTTTTTAAAGTCTACATGTTGTGCATGAGTATCACCTTGGATGCAGCCTCATATCCTGCTGGCTTTAATTTTTTTAAGGGGGGAAAGTTTGCATTTCTCTGTAATTTCAAGCTGCAGCCACACCTATGCTCACCAAGGACCAAACTAAATATGATGTCAAACGTGTGACTGCCCTTGAAAACAGCAGCCATGCATCTAGGCCTTCCTGCCCTGCTATAAATGGAGTAACACGCATGTCCCATTCAACATTACCCCACCCCCTATACCACATCTTTGCTGTTGCAGGCAAACGCCTAATAACACATGCAGAACACAGAGAAGTTCTACAAGACATTATGGAAAAGGAGCATGCACTTCCCTTTTGGCCCCAATTTAAACCAGGTCACCTATCATGACTCCGGGAACTGTAGTTTTGTGATAACACAGAGAATATGCTCCTTTAGATCCCTAGCTTTCTTACCAAGTGAGAGTATCTGAAGTTCTTTGGGGAGGAGGTTGCAGAAGCCATGATAATTAAACTGCTTATGTTGAGTTGCAGACTTATAACTCTGTGGCTGAGGCTTGTTCCATAGACTTCACTTTTAAACCTCCTCAAGTTTGTATCAAAGTTGCATTTGGGTTGCACTTGAATTAAGGGTTTCACACTCAGTTTTCTCACGCTGCTGCCCTCTTAGTCAAGGAGCTGCATTCACCTTTCAGGTGACAGTGAATGTGGTCTGTTGCTTCCTACTAAACTATGTATGAAGGAAACCCTTAGTGACATCCTTGGTACCGGAGAGGTTCTTTCTGGATAAGAGTTGCTATCGGTCGTGTGACTGACCAAAAGGAAGCACTTCCTCTTTATGCAATGTGTAATTAACTTGTGGAACTCAGCATCCTTTATCTAAGATGACCTTTAGGACACATTCAGAGAGTATAGGTGTTGGAAGAGTTACTAGTCGTGATGGTTAATGGATCTTCCATATACAGAGGCACTATATCTCTGAAAACCAGGTGCTGGGAACAAACAGGGATGATCTTTTGGCTACCCAAGCATTTGGTTGACTGTTGCTAGGAGCAATGCTTGATTGCCCTGTAGAGTTTTCAAGGCAAGAGACGTTCAGAGGTGGCTTTGCCCTTGCCTGCCCCTGCATACCAACCCTGGTCTTCCTTGGTCGTCTCCCATCCAAATACTAAGCAGGGCCGACCCTACTTAGCTTCTGAGATCTGACAAGATCAGGCTAGCGTGAGCTAATCCAGGTCAGGGCGTCTTTATCACTACTGGTTTGTTAGAAGTGGGAAGTTTGCTATCGATAAAGTAGCACCGTGTTGAAGTTATCCCTTGCTTGTCAATGTCATCCAACCTCTTGGCTGAACAAAGTGGAGAATTCTTCATTCAAGCAATTCAAGGAGATGTATTCTTCCATGGTGACTGCAGAAAAACGAAGAGGGGCGCTTCCCTGCTGGGCACTCTTGTCTGAGTCAGTGCGATGTCAGCTATGCTGTAGATCATCCTGGTGTGGGAATTGGCCCTTTCACCCAGGCTACATCTAGTTCCAGAGGTTCCAGGCTGTTCTCAGCGCGCACACAAGAATTTCCATCATTTGGGCTTCAAGGAAGGATGCTTCATGGAGTCTTGCATCCACCGTTTGTGGTAAATTGTAGCAAAGCACATCAGTGAAGCAGTCACTCCAAAGCATGTATAAAGACTCTCAGTATAAATATCTTGCCTGAGCCATCTTTGAGCCGATTCTAATGTTCGGCTGACATGGGGTGCAGCTCTCTTGCAGGATTTTACCACCTTGGACGGCAGATGAGTAGGACTGCTTGGTGAAAGCACAGAATAGCTGGGGAACGAAAGTGGGAGAGAAAGGCAAACATCCCCAGACACTTTGTTCTTAGCAAATTGCATGCAAATTCAGGGATTTTGTTTATATCAACTGAACCTCCCAGTTGTAGATGGGGAGCCTGAATGTGGCAATAGGCATACCTCCCTGATCTTTGTCTCGCTTGAAGGTGTATGTGCTTCGACCTGGGGAGGGAGATTGGTTTTACCAGTTCTTGCAGGGAGCATTTGTGTCCTGGCAGACAAAATCAGCTTGCATTCCAGCTGATTGACTTACCACTGTGTATGCTGCAGTGATTGAGCAGGATTTTTTTATGTAGGCTGAGAGTTCAGAGGAGGTGACTATGCTGGGATCCATAACCACTCATTTTGCACTTGCCCAGTGGCTATGAGTACCTGAGCTGGGAATTCTTTGGTCCAGGTCTCACTTCAGCTGCACACTTGCCCTCTGGGCTTGGCCAAGCCACTGTTCCCTAAATGGCAGCCCTTCCATCTGCAGAACAAGAGTAATGATCCTGGTGTACCTTACAGGGCTGTTGTAAGGATTCCAACAAGAAGGGCTTTGAGTACTTGAAATGCCCTCTCCAGGCACTAAGTGTTCTCGCTTGCTGTGGAGGGTAGTTGGGCTTTGCCTGCTAGTTCTCTTGCACCTGCAGTCTGCTGAGCACGACTGCTGTATGTGTTATATTGCTGAGCACACCAGTGGATTGCCCAGAAAAGGGCTGCCTTGTTGTGTGTCAAGTGGAGGGGCTGTGGCTCAGTGGCTGAGCCTCTGCTTGGCATGCCGAAGGCCCCAGGTTCAATCCCCAGTATCTCTAGTTAAAAGGATCAGATGGAAGACTTAGGTGAGAGACCTCTGCCTGAGACCCTGGAGAGCTACTGCTAGACTGAGTAGGCAAGACTGACCTTGGTGGATCAAGGGTCTGATTCAGTAGAAGGCAACTTCATGTGTAAAGTGCTTTTGCTTCCACTGTCACTTGAGCTGTGAACTTTTTTTTTAATGTGGTTGCAAAGGAGAAAGGAGGATGAAGCCACTGAAAGATTCTCTAGCCTGAGCACTGGGTTGTCGCATCCATCTGCTCAGGCCCCAGCCTTCGACCAATCCATATTGTTAACATATTGCTTGCCATATGGATCAGCTCAGCTCTCCAGGAACGCTTGGGAGACCTGACCTCTAGTGTGACAAGATGTGAGCATGAAGGACGGGGGCTGACAGCAGCCCTTGGGTCTTGGAGTGTGAAACTGCAGTCCAGCCATTTCTTTGTTCCTTGCTGTAAGCTCTCTCTCTCTGTGTCTCTCTCCCCTCCCCTCCCCTGCCCCAGCCTTTTAATTTTATTTTTAAAATTTCCTCTCCCCTGTTTTTCCGCATCCCTAGTCTGTGTTGGATCAGTGACCTTCACTCATAACCAGACCGGACAGTTCTAAACTCCCTCCCCCAGGCCATCGATCAGATGTTTGGTTGACGGCTGCAGAGAGCTGAACAGAGGGAGGGGAAAGAGAGAGAAGATGTGTATTCATTAAGACCCTGCAATATCTGGTCTCTGCGTCCCAGTCTCAAGATACCTTGATCCATGGATGGGGAAAGACTCTTTATTGGTAGTTGACTGAGAAGGGGGTCCTTCTTAGGATCTTAAACTCACTGTTATGGTTAGGTTTTAAACTAAGGGGAATGTGTCTCTTCTCAGTAATAAGTAGCCAGCCCTCACAAAGCTGGGGTTAGTTTGCAAAATGACCAGAGGGTTTGACTAAGATAGGTTCACCAAGGCCCTTGGTTAGACCCTAAAATCTCCCAATTCTGCCCACAAGGACTAGAATCTTGGTTTAGAAAAGCAAATCAGGCTACGCTGTTGTTGTTTTTTCCAGATTCTGTTACTGTCCTAGTTTTTTTTGCCACGTAACTTTGTGTGTCAGTTCTATCCAGCTGTGTTCCGGGAATCTTATCTATAAATTCTGCCCTTCCCACAGACATTAATACCTATTTGACTGTGTATTGAATGTTTGCTTGAGTTATTGCAAAATAAAAAGGCAAGGATGAACCTTAAATTGCAGTGATGTAATAGGCCTGGTATCAACTTTAGTTGCTGAAAGCAGACTAAACTTTGCCATTCCTATGCTCTTCTGAGAAGGAAATGCAGGGCAGGTTCCATGATCAGGCCCCAAGTCACTTACAGAGGGTACTCAGGCTGGGTAGATCTACTAGTGGTCTGTAATTCTGGACACAGATGTACCAATATCAATTCAAATTTATTTACACACTTTGGGTATGGCAGCCTGAACCTGTGAGTGACAGGAGGTTGGCAGCTGTGCCTGACCAGAATGCCTGACCAGACTATTGAACACTGACCATTGGACCATTCTGCAAATGAATCGACCCTCTTTGTTCAGACTATTGAACACTGACCATTGGACCATTGAGGCGAAGGGTGTCCTACTCCTCAAGAGACCAGACAGCTTTTTGATATCTAAGCATAGGTAATTTTTGGACCCGCATTCAAAGTGAGAATTAGCTATAAAGTCATAAGCACATTCAGTGTCTCTGCCAGTTAGGTTAACCATTCAAATGATCCATTGTTTGGACCTCTGAGAGTGAAATGTGCAAGACATATTTCCAGACATAATACCCTATAAACGTGCAGTTCCGAGAAATCTGTTGATGATGAAAGCATAAAAAGGCTAACTTTGATGTGTCTGTTTATGTTTTTACATATTCTTTTCCCTGCAGCATTCCAGCATGAGCTAATTTGGGGGTTACACTTGAGATGGCTGTATCCCAAAGTTTCAGTTTCAGCAGGTCTGGCCATAGTGAAAGCTGGAATGAGTCAGTCTAGCTGTTTTGAGCTAGGAGGCTGGCCAGGTGAGCTTTGGGGATATGCATGGAGGGCTTTTTGTGCATTCTTGCTTACCTTGTCCTTGGTCTCCTGTCCTGTTCCCAAGAAATACAGCATGGGTGCAGGAAGAGACAGGAGTTTCATTTGGGTGTGTGCACAGAATA